GGGTGGAAGAGGAGGTCAGAGCAGTGGTGGGGCCGTGGGAGAGGGGTGATGAGGGGGTAGCTGAGTGAGGGGGAAGGGGGTTGGAGGGAGTTTGAGCAGCGACTAAGTCCCTGCGGGTTATGTTGAGGGGGAGGGGGGATGAGGGGGTAGCTGTGTGAGAGGGGACGGGTTGAGAGGGCGTGTGAGTTGCGGCAATGTCCTTGCGAATTGTGTCAATCTTGTTTTTGAAGTGATTGGCAATCTCAAGGGCAGTGAGTGAGGTGCTGGGTGGAAGTGGGGGGTGGCGAGAGTAGAGAGTTGAGGTGGAGAAGAGTCGGCAAGGATTGGAGGAGAGGGCCTTGATGAGGGTCAGGAAGTAGGCTTGTTTGGCAGCATCGAGGGAGGAGGTGTAGGTGTGGAAGGCAGATTTGTAGCGGGTGAAGCGGGTATGGGTGAAGGCTTGTTGGGATTTGGTTTTGCGCCATAGTCGCTCCAGAGTGGGTGATGGATTGTATGCACTGTGCAAGTGCAAAGGAGGAGGTTAAGTGGAGGAGACGGGCTGTGTCCGGGTTGTCGAGGTTGACAGGGATGTTGAAATCCCCAAGGATGATGGTGGGTAGCTCAGAGGAGAGGAAGAAGGGTAGCCAGGAGGAGAAGTCATCCAGGAAGCGGGGTATGGATCCAGGAGGCCGGTATATCACAGCAATCTTCAGGGGGGTTGGGGGAGAATAGTCTGACGCAGTGGGCCTTGAAGGAGGAGAAGGATAGGGAAGGGTGTTTGGGAGGACTCGGAAGGTGCTCTGCGGTGACAGGAGCAGACCAACCCCACCACCTTTACGACCGTTAGGTCTGGGTGAGTGGGTCCAGGTGAGACCTCCGTAGGAGAGAGCAGCAGGGGAGGTAGAGTCAGCGGGCTGGATCCAGGTTTCTGTGATCGCTAGGAGGTTGAGGGAGCGGGAAACAAAGAGGTCGTAGATGGCGGTAAGCTTGTTGCACACTGATCGGGCGTTCAGGAGTGCACACGAAAACGGGGGGGAGATTTTAGGGAGCAGGGGGACAGATACTAAGTTGCGGGGATTGCGGCGGGACGTGGAGGCGGGAGGGTGTTGTGCGGGTGAGGGAGGTGGTAGAGGGCCAGGATTCGGGGAGATGTCCCCCGCGGTTATGAGGAGGAGAAGGGTGAGAAAGGTGGCATGGGAGCGGGATGTGCAGAAGCATGAGAAACGACTAGTGGAGGTGTTCGGGTCAGTGGGAGAGTGGAGTAATAGGAGGAGGTGGTAGGTGCCGTAGAAGGGTGAAGGAAGCAGTGAGGACACAATATACAATTGTTTGGGAGGGGCAGAGGGATATAGTGAATGGATTTTGGGAATGGAGGAGAGGAAAATGAGGAGGAGTGGAAGAGGCATTTTGGGGAGGTGATGAGAGCAATAGTAGGGAGATGATAGCAATGAGGGGGAGATGTACAAGTTTTGGGGTGGAGCAGAGGGGTAAAGAAATGAGATTTGGGAGCAGAGGATAGTAATATGGAAAGGAGAAGAGGGGGCGTATTATATAAAAGGTACACGGAGTGGTGCTCAGGTATGTAAGAGAGGTTTCCCAGGGTGTTTGCTTGCAGTCTGTCCAGCGTGCAGTAGAGTTTCTTGCTGTTGTTGTGTCTTCCTGCTGCTTAAGTTCAACTGCTGTGTTTAACTGCATCGCACTCGTTCAAAGCCGCACTCAATCATAAGCAGCAACCCCATCAGAGACTAGCCCCCCATCAGTGATCTCCCCCCATGAGCTGAACTAAATTTATAGGGAGATGCTCAAATGAGCATTCAACTCCGCCCCAATTAGAAGCTCACATGAATGAAGACAAGGCTCACATGAATAGTGGGGGATGTTTCTTAGTAACCAGGCTACAGTCGTAAACCTGAGTGTACCTAGAGGTGAGGACTGGTCAACATATACACAAATATGAATACATCATTTGTTCAGAATTTAACAGGAGTCTATGCATTTTTCTGGTTAAGAGCGGAGATAGGAGATAGATGAAGTTACCCAGAGAAGAACAGCAGGAGTCAATGCGTTTTTCTTGTTAAGAGCGGAGATAGGAGATAGATGAAGTAACCCAGAGAAGAACAGCAGGAGTCAATGCGTTTTTCTGGTTAAGAGCGGAGATAGGAGATAGATGAAGATTCCTCCCTGTGCTCATGATCATTGATATTGCACGCGGTGAGATCTTGCATGGTGCACCAGACCTAGGGAAACTGACAGTTGTTTTGTGTTTCTTCCATTTGCGAATGATTGCACCAACTGTTGTCACCTTCTCACCAAGCTTGGCGATAGTTTGGTAGCCCAGTCCAGCCTTGTGTAGGTCTACAATCTTGTCCCTGACATCCTTGGACAGCTCTTTGGTCTTTGCCATGGTGGAGAGTTTGGAATCTGATTCTTTGATTGCTCCTGTGGACAGGTGTCTTTTATACAGGTAACAAAATGAGATTAGCAGCACTCCCCTTAAGAGACTGCTTCTAATCTCAGCTTGTTACCTGTATGAAAGACACCTGGTAGCCAGAAATCCTGCTGAAATGATAGGGGATCAAATACTTATTTCCCTCATGAACATGTAAATCAGTGCATAATTTGTTAGACATGCATTTCTTTTGAATTTTTTTACATTATTCTATCTTTCAGTGTTACAATACACCTACCATTTGATTTTTAGACTGATCATTTCTTTGTGAGTGGGCAAACATTCAAAATCAGCAGGGGATCAAATACTTATTTCCTTCACTGTATGCACAACGTTGCATAACCGCGCAATTGTCAAAGTAACACAGAGCCATATCGCAAAAAATGTCCTGGTCAGGAAGGGGGGTAAATACTCTGGAGGGGAAGTAGTTAACTGACCAGATCAATATCCCAGGAGTTTAATTGACTTGATGCTGTACTCTGATCAAAAAGTGTTCCTTAAATTTTTTTTGTGCAGTGTATTATGCTCCCCCTTCGTGGGATCCCCTGTTAATTTATCCTGAGTCCGGCTTTAACCACTTGCCCTCCAGAGGATGTACCCCCCCCCCCCCCCCCTTCCTGACCAGGCCATTTGTTTGCGACGTGGCGCTGCATTACTTTAACTGGCAATTGCGCCCAAATGAAATTTACGTCCTTTTGTTCCCATGAATAGAGCTTTCTTTTGTTTTATTTGATCGCCTGTGCGGTTTTTATTTTTTTTTCGCTATAAAAAAAGACCAACAATTTTTAGAAAAAAACAATATTTTTTACTTTTTTACTATTAAACATGTCCAGTAAAAAAATATAAAAGATCTAATTTTGTCATAAATTTAGGCCAAAATGTATTCTGCTACATGTCTTTGCTAAAAGAAATCCCAATACAGTATGTGTAAATTAATTGGTTTACAACTGGTGGTATATATACTGAAATTTGTTTTTTTTTTGTACTAGTAATGCCGGCAATCAGCGACTTATAGCGGCACTGTGGCGGGCATTCTGACACTGGGGGGAACTGACTTGGTGTCACTGACATCCCCAGTGACACCAATACATTGATCAGTGCTAATAAAAAGCACTGGCACTGTACTAATGACACTGGGCAGGAAGGGGTTAACATCCGGGGCGATCAAACTGTGTGCTGTTTTACTATGGGGGCTGTGTGTGTGTCACTGTAAGCACACTGCTTTGTATGGCTCTGCTATGCAGAGCCATACAAAGCAGTGTGCAGGAGCTGACAAGGGAGAGATCTGTATAGTTTACATACAGGTCTCTCCCCTGTCGGAAATCCTCGGAAATCGCTGGGATCTGGTGATTGACAGCGAATGGTGGCATGGGTAGGACGTGTGCACAGCACACGAGCGCCCCCTACCCGGAACTGCAAAATCATGTATATATACGTGATTTTGCGCACCCGTGCCGCCCTATATTAATATTTCTGCTATAGGGTGGCACGGAAGTGGTTAAGCTTAGGTGAGACAGAAAACGTGGTATCAGCACTTAAAATTAGGTTCGTCCAAAACTACAATTTACATCTAATATGAATAAACTAGTAGATTTACAGTGAGAATGGTCAGAATTAGTGTATTCATCACATACAGTGGATATAAAAAGTCTACACATCCCTGTTAAAATGTCAGGTTTCCGTGATGTAAAAGAATTAGACAAAGATAAATAATTTCAGAACTTTTTGCAGTTTTTATGTTTACCCCCAAAGATTTCAGTTTGTTTGTCAATTGAGTTGTACAGTTTTGAGGTCACATTACAGGTGGAAAAAGTTCTAAAAGATTTATCTTTGTCTCCTTTTTTTACATCACAGAAACCTGACATTTTAACAGGGGTTTGGTTAGACTTTTTTTATCCACTGTATATATGAAAATGGGTCTGACTGCCTAAAGTGTATAGAGCTTGGAGAAGCCCAGGTTTTGACCAATCCAAATATGCCAGTGTGATGGGCTGTTAAAGTTAGCATCTCTACCTATCTAATTATCTGTCTAATCATAGGGGACACATAGCCGTGAGCTGAATATACAGTATACCTTGATGGAGCCAAAATGATAGCAAGCTGTTTATACAGACATAGGTGCAACAACCATTTTCATATCTTATACTGTGATTAGTAGTTATGCCACTAGGGGCTATGTTGTGTTTTACAGTTGTATAATGTAATGCTCTTTTTAGTGGAATGACATGTTTTAGATGTGAATTATTCTCTCCCTGTTCCTGTTTCTAATAAAACAAGAAATGCTCAGCCACAGGTCCAGAAACATCTTGACTGTTAAGAGACATATCTGCAGCAGCTTTTCAACAGAAAAAAGCTGTACTGAGAAACCATCTACCGTATTTTTCGCTCCATAAGATGCAAAAAAAGTGAGGGAAAATGTCTGCACGTTTTATGGAGCGAATATGGAGCCGCCGACATGTTAGAATACCGGGCCAGCCACTCGGCTCTACTGTGCAGAAAAACCTGCTCCTCGGTCCTACCTCTTCCTCAGTCCTGCTTTCACTGGCCATCTTCTCTCCCTGGCGCCGGCATCTTCAGTGTGGGCACCCGGCTGTGACAGCTCACAGCCAGGTGCCCACTGCGCATGCGCGAGAAGTGCTGCACTTTGTGAATGGCCCCGTAGTCTTCTGGGACCTGTCACGTGTCCCACAAGACTATGGAGAGGGAAGGGAGGAGGACTCCTCATCTCCTGTACTATGTCTGCAGTCTCTGGTCATCTCCTGTACTATGTCTGCAGTCTCTGGTCATCTCCTGTACTATGTCTGCAGTCTCTGGTCATCTCCTGTACTATGTCCGCAGTCTCTGGTCATCTCCTGTACTATGTCCGCAGTCTCTGGTCATCTCCTGTACTGTGTCCGCAGTCTCTGGTCATCTCCTGTACTGTGTCTGCAGTCTCTGGTCATCTCCTGTACTGTGTCTGCAGTCTTTGGTCATCTCCTGTAGTATGTCTGAAGTCTCTGGTCATCTCCTGTACTATGTCTGCAGTCTCTGGTCATCTCCTGTACTGTGTCCGCAGTCTCTGGTCATCTCCTGTACTGTGTCTGAAGTCTCTGGTCATCTCCTGTAGTGTGTCCGAAGTCTCTGGTCATCTCCTGTACTCTGGTCATCTCCTGTACTATGTCCGCAGTCTCTGGTCATCTCCTGTACTGTGTCCGCAGTCTCTGGTCATCTCCTGTACTGTGTCCGCAGTCTCTGGTCATCTCCTGTACTGTGTCCGCAGTCTCTGGTCATTTCCTGTACTATGTCCGCAGTCTTTTGTCATCTCCTGTACTATGTCCGCAGTCTTTTGTCATCTCCTGTACTATGTCCGCAGTCTTTTGTCATCTCCTGTACTATGTCCGCAGTCATCTCTTTTGTCATCTCCTGTACTATGTCCGCAGTCTCTGGTCATCTCCTGTACTATGTCCGCAGTCTCTGGTCATCTCCTGTACTATGTCCGCAGTCTCTGGTCATCTCCTGTACTGTGTCTACAGTCTCTGGTCATTTCCTGTACTATGTCTGCAGTCCATTGGTTCAGAATATTTTTTTTCTTGTTTTCCTTCTCTAAAATCTAGGTGCGTGTTATGGAGCGAAAAATACGGTAATTTCTGAGCAACATATCAAGCCCTCAGCCTACAATGAGGATTAATGAAAATGTGGTGTCTTGCACTGTACAGAGGTAAAAATGTTGTGTTGCCGGTTAAGCAAGTCGTTTTCAGTAAAGCGTTGGAAAAGCATCTTGAATAGACATTCTTTATTCCTGTAAACAGGCCTCCAGAAAGGAGGACTTCTGGCCAGGAGTATCTGTGTCCAATATTTTGTGCAACAGTTTATTAAGCAAAAATTTTCAATAAAATATACACTATTATTCATTTTTAGAGCACACAATCACAATATATTACAACAAATTTTGGTAAACTATTAACCACTTCCAGACCGGACACTTTTTACCCCCTTCCTGACCAGGCTAATTTTCAGCTTTCAGTGCTCTCAGATTGTGAATGCCAGTTACTCAGGCATACGACACTGTATCCAAATGAAATTTTTATCATTTTTTTCACACAAATAGAGCTTTCATTTTGTGGTATTTAATCACCACTGGGGGTTTTATTTTTTTCTAGAAAAGTGGAAAAAGACTGAAAATTTTGAAAATAAACATGTTTTTCTTCGTTTTTGTTACTAGATTTTGCAAATAAATATACTTTCTTCATTAATTTAGGCCAAAATCCATTGTGCTACCTACCTTTGTTTGGTAGAAATAACCCAAATCAGTGTGTATTATTTAGTCTGTATTAAAGTTATAGAGTCCACAGACCACGGTATATATATATTTGATATATTTGAAAATTTATCAATCCTGATGTACTGACTACCTATATAGTTTCTCAGGGCCCTAAAATGCCAGGACAATACAAATACCCCCCAAATGACCCCTTTTTGGAAAGTAGACAGTCTGAGGTATTTAATGAGAGGCAAGGAGAGTTTTTTGAAGTTGTAAGTTTTTGCCAATTTTTTAAGGGGAAATGATGAAAGTAAATAATTTTAATTTTTCTTTCACAAAGTTGTCATTTTAACAAGTTCTTTCTCTCACACAGCATAGGCATACTTGCAGTTACACCCCAAAACACATTCTGCTACTCTTCCTGAGTCTGGTGATACCAAATGTGTGAAACTTTTTCACAGTCTAGCCACATAGAAGGGCCCCACATCCAATAAGCACCCTTAGGCGTTCTAAGGGCAAAAATTACACATCTAATTTCTTGACTGTCTATCACAGTTTTGGAGGTCCTGGAGCACCAGGACAAAGGAATTACCCACAAAATGACCCCATTTTGGAAAGAAAACACCCCAAGGTATGTTTTAAGAGGCATGGGGAGTCTTCTGAAGACTTCATTTTTTGCCAAACGTTTTTGGAAAATGTGAAAAGAAGATGAAAATGTATTTTTTTTCTATGCAAAGTTGCCAGTCTATGAGATATATCTATTACACAGCATAGGCATACTTAAAATTACACCCCAAAACACATTCTATAACTCTTTCTGAATATGGCGATACCAAATGTGTGAGACTTTTTCACAGTCTGGCCACATAGGGGGGCTACACATCCAATAAGCACCTTTTGGAGTTCTAGGGGAAAAAATGACACATCTAATTTCTTGACTACCTAATGCCATTTTGGAGGTCCTGGAGCATCAGGACAATAGAATTACCCACAAAATGACCCCATTTTGGAAAGCAAACACCCCAAGGTATGTTTTAAGAGGCATGTGGAGTCTTCTGAAGACGTAATTTTTTGCCACAAGGAAAATGTAAAAAGAAAATGAAAATTAATTTTTTTTTTTTTACACAAAGTTGTCAATCTATAAAATATTTCTAATACACTGCATAGACATACTTAAAATGACACCCCAAAACACATTCTATAACTCTTCCTGAATATAACGATACCAAACATGCAAGACTTTTTCACAGCCTAGCCACATAGAGGGGCCCCACATACAATAAGCACCTTTAGGCATACTAAGGGCAAAAAATACACATCAAATTTCTTGACTACCTATCACAATTTTGGAGGTCCTGGAGCAGCCGAGTCTTCTGAAGACTTAATTTTTTACACAAATTTTCAGAAAATGTGGAAATTTATTTTTTTTAACGCAATGTTACTAAATTTTGCAAATAAACATAGCATAAAGCATAGTGTAGCTTCACCTACAGCCTGTTCCTAAAAGCTCAATCTACTGGTACGTGGCTGCCCACATAGCACTATGTTCACTCACCAAGAAGTTGAACAAAAGATAAACCAAAGAGTACCTGTGGTTTCAGTGCAGTTGTCTATATAGGATGGGGGCACCAGTGTCTCGCAGGAAGGTAGCCAGTGGGATGTGCAGATGGGTCAGTACCGATGTCATGCATAGATGTGGTGAGCAAACAGGCAAAGCAGTGGTCCAGGAAGAAGACAGGAACATGGTCCATAAAAAGGCCACAGTCGATACAGACAGCAAGCAGAGACGTGATCAAAGGATTGGTCCAGGCAGAAACATAAAGCTTAGGGCCTTGGTTAGGTAAGACCGAACAAAGGGTAGAGGCTTCGTCCCACCCAAATCTCTTCGAAGCCTCTGGTCTCCAGACCCTGATCCGGGAATTACAAAACCCAAAGAAAACAAAAAAGTTTTCTCTGCTTGGAAACACTACTCTGGATCCCCTCACATAAGTGAGACCCCTGTGTTGTCTTGAATCCCATTACTAAAGTGGGAGGGAAAAAGATCAGTCCAGGAGGCAGGCAGAAAACATGGTTGATTAACAGGCCGAGGTCAGTTCAGGCAGCAGCAGGCAGAGGCATGGTCGATTTAACAGGCCAAGGTCAGTGTCACGGTGTAAAGTCAGGTTCAGAGACCAGTTGCTATAGCAGTAAAAGGCTTACCTGGAACCAGCAGGATAGGTACACCAGCGGATCCCCCTGGGAATGACGCAGGCTCACCTGAGGTGCGGGGTCTAAGTATTAACGGTATTCACCAGAGCTCCTAATGGTGGAGATGGATTGGGCTGCGTGTTAATACCAGGTCGCAGATCTCAGGATCACCCCACCAGGGAATGAGCAGACTGGGAACCAATAGCGGATCAACAGGTTAGGGATCAGACGAAAGCAGAGTCGGTCACAAGCCAAGGGTCGGTCACAAATGGTAGCAGATCAATCGTGGTCAGGAACAAGCCAAAGGTCAGTAGCGGAGGTGTAGACAGCAGCAGGAACAGTAGCAGGATATTGGCTGGAAAGGCACAGTAATCTGGCAAGGAGGAAGTCCAATGACATGGCTTATATAGGAAGTTCATGGGAGGAGCAAGGAGTTCAAGGTTCAAGAGCAAACAAGGCACAAGGCAGGATTATCCAATAGATGAGGCAAAGTGTTGTCCAGCATCCCAGGTAGCTCAGTGAGTAGAGTTACTGCCTGACACAGTAGAAGTCCCAGGTTCAAGTCCAGGCCCTGACAGTACTCCCCTCCTCCCAGGACGTCCTCTGGACGTCTTTAGGACTAGGCTTGCGTGGAATTCTCTGGTGGAATTCTCTTGTTAGTCTAGGAGCATGAACATTCTCCTCAGGCTCCCAAGAATTTTCTTCTGGTCCATATCCTTCCCATTGAACCAGATACTGTAACTTATTCCTAAATATCCTGGAATCAAGGATTTTCTCCACCACAAATTCTTCTTCACCCTGTACCTCAACAGGTGGAGGAGGTGAAAAAATTCTTCCAGGGAAAGGATTTTCCTGAAACGGTTTGAGTAGTGATATATGAAAAACAGGGTGAATCCTCATACTATCCGGAAGCTGTAAGCGAAAGGTGACTGGGTTGATTTGGGCAGAAATCTGAAAAGGACCCACAAACTTTTGACCCAACTTAGCAGATGGCACCTGGACCTTCAAATTCTTTGTTGATAACCAAACTTTTATACCCACATGAAACGTAGGAAGTGTTCTCCGGTGTCTGCCTGCAGACTTTTTGTAATACTCCTGAGCTTTCCTCAAAGTCTCAATCAATTTCTCTTGAATCTCCTGCAATGTAGTTAGTCTATCGGTAACAGCAGGGATTGGAGTTGTGATAGGGAGATCAGGAATAAAAACTGGATGGTAACCGGCGTTTAAGTAAAAAGGACTTTGAGAGGTGGAACTATGTTTAGAATTGTTGTATGCAAACTCTGCAGTGGGAAGACAGTCCACCCAGTCATCCTGAAGATAAGTGACAAAGCATCGAAGATACTGTTCCATTGTTTGATTAGTTCTCTCAGTCTGACCATTAGACTGGGGATGAAAAGCAGAGGACAGATTAATTGTAACACCTAAGGCTGAGCAAAAACTTCTCCAGAATTTCGAAGTAAACTGCACACCTCTG